TTGGGTTTACAGTCAGGACTGTCTTCTTGCAGCTCATCTCAGAAAAGAGAATATTCGAGAAGGTTGGACCAAGGTTCAGCTCCAAAAATAACAGATTGTGTTCTTGATCGTGCTTCCAAAAAACCTCACTTTCCCTTGAAGCTTTTCTGCCTCCTTCAGGGCCTTCAGCATCACCAGAGCCAATTTCCTGTTGCGTCCTGAGGAAAGGCATCCTGGTACAAGGTACAGTCTAGGCAGCAATGGGCCACGGTGCTTCTCTGATAAGGAAGCAAAGACAGCGCAGGTACAGAATGAGTCATTTAAAATAATTGTAATAAAGAATATTACAGTCCTGCAGCAGCTCAACAGCTTCTGGGCTTTCCAAACAGAAACCTGCCTTGTTCCGGATCTTTCCTGAATTAGTTGTTGCTTTTCCAGGACTCAGAAAAGACCCTGAGGGACTTGTAATGCTGCATCCAGCTTCTCCGGTCACCATTGCACGGCAAATGGTGTTGTCTTGTTCAGAGAGCTGAAATGTGAAGGTTTAAAAGACTGATGAGACCTTGTCAGGGACTCTAAGCACCTCTATCCTAGATGCATTTAAAAGCTTACTGAGAGGGAAGTTAATTTGGTCATGTAAAGGAGGGCTTTGGATTGTGTGTGTGTTAGTTTCTAAAGTGTTTCCAGTTACCAGTTTGCTAAAAGAGTTCATTTTTGAACTAATGAAAAGTGGCTTAACATGCCAGGAAGAATGACTTAAGTGGCAAGAGGCAACTGGCAACCAACTGAACCTTTAGCATTGTATTATCTGGAGGCTTATTCAGGATGTTAGGGACTGGACTCCCCCTGACAAGGTTTAGTCATGTCAGCTTTCTGCTAAACCTTGAGGATACAAAGTGGAAAGGCATCATCCTGGCCCTCAGACTGCTTAGAGTTGGAGGACATTAGCCACATACAGATCTCTAATGGAGGTTATCTAACAACAACAACAAAAAAAACCCACAAAAGCAAACAGAGGACAGATACCTCAGGGAGATAGGAAAAGCATCCTACAAGTTGTTCCTTTTTAAAAAGATTGATTTATTTATGCATACAAGAACTGGGGTACAGGCCAGAGATGTGGAAAGTGAGAAGATTCACCAGAGACTGCGCCCTGTGGGTCAGCTCCCTGGCTGGGGGTCTAACTCACGGTGCAGTGGGTGTGGACAGCTTCATAGTGCTGTGCTTTAAGCCCCTGTACAAGCAGGGAGGGCCAGAAGTTGTTTATCAAAGATATGACATTGATAACACAGGACAAATGGGTTCTGGACTTTGGAAACCCAGCAAGGCATACTTTGGGGGAAACTTTAAAAAACAAAGTTAAGGTGAGAGAGTGGACGGACAGTAATAGGAGGAGGAACCTGAAGAAATGCAGGACAGACCAGTACAGCCTTGACTGCCCGGCTGAAATGTGACCATTTAGCACATGTGAGGTCTGCTGTACCATAGGCGAGAAACCTTTTGGCTCCTGAAATGCCCATTAATTTCTTACTTATTTTTGTGTTTAAAGAAATTTGTTCAGGGGGTTCCCTAGTGGCACAAGGAGCTAAGTCACTATGAAGCTATCTGAAGCCACTGCAGCATGAGTTCGATCCCTGGCCAGGGAGTGACCTACACGGTGCAGCAGACCTCTCCTGTCTCCCCGCTGTTCCCCTCAGCAGTGGATTTCAGTAGATCCACCTGTCCTGCTCCCTTCTGTCTCTGGTGTATCCTCTCGCTCCCTGCACTTCTGGCCTGTATGCATGAACAAACAAATCTTAAATAAAATATTGTTCAGTATTTTACAAACAGATTGGACAAGATGGGTCATGTCCACTTGCTCTTGAAGGCTGTGTCTAAATAAGCATATGCTACAGGTGTCCCTCAGTGACCAAGTGCTGAATCATCCTGGACAAACAAAGACTACTGAGAAAAGGATGGGGGCCCTTGGATTTTGGAGTCTAAATATAGCCCATTTTCTCAGTACCTGCAAAAAAAATCAAAACTTAGGTCCCGTTCAGGCATATACTAGCTTAGAACCATGGAAGAAATGCAAAGTGTGGAAGTAATCATAATTGTGGACATTTAACTGTAGGATCTGAGCCCGTTTTCTCCTCTGTGAAAGGGGCCAGCAATCTCTTAAATTTTCCGAAAGGATTAAGTTAGACAATAGATGTGAAATGTTCACAAGACTCATTCACATTAGTTCTTCCCTCATTCCTCCCTCAGCCAGTTTAGGTGTGTCTTTGTGAACACACCAAACAGCTGTTAGAATCTCCGGAGCTTGGTTTACAGAGATGAGTAATGCAACTCCTTCCCTCCAGGAAGTTTCTCCTCTCCAGGAAGTTTCTCCTCTTCTTTCTTTCCTTGGAGTTTCTGGTTTAGGGCCTAATCCTATTTAAAAACGCATATTTTCAAGCCCCACCCTAGAGAGTCTGATTTAGAGATCTGAGAAGGGGTCTAGAAATCCACTTTTGTTCTTTTTTTTTTTTTTTTTAAAAAGCAGTCCAGAAAACTCTGATAGAGACTGACATTATATTTTGAGAAACTTTGATGTAGGAAGAGATGCCACTAATTGTAACCTGGCGTTTTGTAGTGAAGGCACACAGGGGAATGCACCCTTGAGTTGTCCCGGTACAGATAGAGATTTGTTTTTGCTTTTTTAGGAGCTGGAAGAGAATGATGAAAGGGCATCTTTAAAAAAAAATTGAATTAAGCCCATTAAAATTTTTTTTTACATACTTATGCACACAAGAACTAGGGCTTTGGCCGGAGGTGTGGGGGTAAGGTCTCATCAGTGAGAGTGGGGAGCAGATGGCATGGATCTACTGAAATACACCGCCGTGGGAGCAGGGGGGCCATAGCTGGGTAGTAGAGCCTGTAACCCCTGGCCACCAGGGAGGCCCTGTGAAAGGCTCAGAGGCCTAAGTTTCAGGGGAACCCAGGCTTTATAGAATGTGCACCCTGCCACGAATGCTGGAGAATGCTGGATGGTAGATAACGAAGTGACTAAGAGACACATGCTGAGATGAGAACTACCTCCCAGTCAGAACCACCAAAGTCAGGGAGCAGGGTGGGAGGTCAGAAATTGAGGGGCGTCTCTTTTCATCTCCGTAGCTGTAAAAGGCCGGCCTGTCCCTCCTTGTCCTGCTTTATGCTGACACCGTATTTACAACTAAGGAGGGCGGGGAAGTGGCTTATAGGACCTTGACTCTCGGAGGTTCCACGACGCCCTTTGGCCTCGAAGGCAAACTCGACGAGTTCGCCGCCGAAAGTGCAGTGACTGGCACCTTTGGGGGCGTTTAGTGAAGTGGCGTTTGCTGGCGGCTCACAAAGAGCCTGCGAACTGGCCGGCACAGCAGAGCACGCCGTCGCCAGGCCCCGTCGCGCCTGCCCCACAGGGCTTCCACCCACGTTCGGAGGCATCCGCCCGTCTGTCCGCCACCGGGGGGGGGGAGGGGGGGGCGGTGCGCCTTCAAGGCGCTTTCACTGGCGGCTAAGTGCAGCATGAAACACGCCCCGGTGGCGACGCAGGGCCGCGCGCCGGGGGTCGGGGTCCCTACACTAGTTGAGCTGCAGGGCTCGGCGGAAGCGTACCGCCTGAGCGCCGTAAAGATGTCTCCTGAGGAGGGCCAATATGGCGGCGGGCTCCTCTTGGCACAGCCCTGTTCCCTCCCCCGTGACCGGCGGCTCAGGTGACGCCCATTGGCCAGCTTGGAGGTGGTGCCTGACTTCCTTCGTTGCCTCATTGGACTGAGTGACTGACGGAGACGCCAATTCTCCTTTGGCCACTCCAAGCTCCCGCCCTCAGAGTTGCGTCGGCGTTTCATTGGCTTTCGGTTCCGTCAATATGCGTTCTGTCTCGTCACTTTTCAGTATTAATCCAATCGTAACTTTTCTGGCTGCCCGCCTGATTTCTGATTGGCTTGGATAAGCTTCATCCTATCCCATTCCTGCCTACTTTTTTCCTCTCCTCCCACCAGACTTTGCCCCGACATGCCCAGGATTCTGGTTGGCCTTCATCTTGTCATTCCTCTCAAAGTTCTTCCTATACCTTCTTCTCCGGGAGCCCGCCTGGAGGTTGACTGGTTTCCTTCCAAGCCTATCACCTTCAACTCCCGCCCACCTTCACTTCCTGCGTCTTTCATTGGCTCTTAAAATTGAGAGGGCGGTCTTTTAGGGCGGACACCAGGCACGCAACTTTGTCTTACACGCCTTAGGGAGCAAGCCACACTTGCCATTGGGTACTCTGCCCGCCTTTCTTCTGCATTTCCCGCCTTTCTCCCTCCCTCATTGGGCGGGGCAGCACTAAAGGGGCGGGGCCTAGGCCGGGCTTGTGGCGCGCTGCTCCCTCCTCCTTACCCCCCCCTCCCTGTCCGGTCCGGGTTCGCTTGCCTCGTCAGCGTCCGCGTTTTTCCCGGCCCCCCCCAACCCCCCCGGACAGGACCCCCTTGAGCTCGTCCCTCAGCTGCCACCATGAGCGGTAAGGATGAGTCCACTCCAAGCTTAGGGGTGGAAGGGGAGTGAGG